ACCTTCACATAGTCATCAGAGTACTGATGGGCACGGCCACATCAGGAAACTCCCCCAGGCAGGAAAAGAGCTGTCTCTGAGGATGACAGGGCAGCAGCCGCTGCTCTTGCAAGGCTGGGACCATGACTGTTCCTGACAGCCAGACTGGAACACCTCCTATTCACAGACCATCGCAGGGAGCTGAGAAGGGGCTGGCCTCAGTACATTGCTCTGGTTCTACCTAAAGAATCTTAAAAACAAGACCCAAAAGAGTCAAACTATTCCCAAGTAATTTAACTGTGTCCCAGAACAAAGCTCAAGGAACTCTACTGGAAGGCAGAAATAACCAAAACTCAACAAGGTAAAATTCACAATACTGGACATTCAATCAAAGATTACCAGGCATGCCAAGAAGCAGGAAAATATGACCATCATGAACAAAGCTACTGATCAATTGAAACTGACCAAAAACTAACTCAGATGTTAAGATTGGCAGACAAGGAAACAAAAGGTTAATGTAACTCTATTCCAGACATTCAAAAAGTTAATTAGAATTATAGAATATATTAACAAAAAGATCCAAATAAAACTCTGAGTTAAAAACTAAAAAAAAAATCGACAATGGAAAAATACATCAAGTGAGAGTAATAGATTAGACACTGCAAAAGAAAAGATTAGTGAACTTGAATATATACCTATAGAAACTACACAAAATGAGGACAGAGAAAGGAAATCAAAAGGAAGTAAGGAAGGATTATCAGTGAGCTTTTGAAAAACTCCAGGAAACTGTACACTTCTGTAGTTGCAGTTTCTGAAAGAAAAAGGAAAAAAATACATTTGAAGAAATACTCAAAGTATTTTCCAATTTGATGCAAACTATAAATGCACAGATACAAGATAATCACTGAAACCAACTAAAAGACACATGAAGAACTGCACCAAGAGGTATCACTGTTCAAAAATTGATAAGGAGCCTTACAACCTACCAAAAGGGGAAAAACATGTCACACAGAGGCACAAAAAGATGAGAATGACAGCAGATTTCTTAATGGAAACAATGCATGCAAAAGGGCAGTGTAGCAAAATCTGTAAAGTACCGGGGACAAAAAACCCTGCTAATCTAGAATTCTATACCAAGTGAAAATATTTTTAACAATCAAGAAGCAATAAAGACTTTTTGGGCATCAAAACACTCTAAGAAGTCATCTGCTATAGACTGGCACAATGAGGAAGACTAGAAGAAGCTGTTGGGCAGAAGAAAATGATGCCAGGTAGAAATGGATCTAAACAGAGTGAAGAGCAATAAAGCTTTATTAAAACACGGTTGTATTAATTCTTTTATGTTTTGTCCATGATTGCTGTCACAAAAATGGCAAAATAACCAAGGCAGAGACTAATATATTTACTAGTTCATAAACCCTGTATTAAACAAATCTGTTTTCATTTGAAATTATTTGTCCTTTTGTATCTGTGTTTATGTTACTATCTTTGTTTTTATACATATACACACATGTTTATGCGTGCAAAGAATGACTTTTAGGATGAGGCTCACCAAATAGCCACGCTGCGTATTTGCGGGCTGTGAGTTGGGAGGTAATTTGTTATTTCTTTTGCTTTCTTGTGTTGCTTAACATTTAAAAATAAGTAAAAGCCCATTTTATAAAATGAAGTCATTAGTTTTAAAAAGTAATATAACTATACTATAAAAAATTTAAAATACAGGCAAGAAAAAATAGGAAATTTCTTGATCGTCACTCCCAAAACAGCCGTTATCATCATTTGAGAGTATTCACCTCAAGCTTTTTCTCACACGGCATAGTCGTAACTCTAATGTGCATAAGCTTTTGCACTCTGCTTTTTCACTTAACAGAAGCATTTATCCCTGAGCACACGGTCTCACAGGCATTTGCTGTTGCCTGGGTTTGGTGAGACGTGTGGTGTATTATTACCTACACAATCTCACTAGTGCTGGGTATCTAGGATGGCTTCCTTGTTACCATGATAAGAGAAGCTGCAATGTATAACTTTTCCATACTTGAGATTTTTTTCTAGAATATAGTTTTTCAAAGTGGGAATCCTGAATCAAAGGGATTTTTTTTTAACATTTTTATGTCTGTATGCATACCGTTCACAAGATTGATAGCAATTTACAGTATCAGCAGGATTATAAGAAAACACCCCCATTTCCAGCCATCCTTCAAAACACTGAATATTTTATATTTGCATTTTTCCCTAATATTAATGCTGAAAACCAGCATTTTAATTTACATAAAATTTTTGTCCAGAAAATATTTTAAAATATACAAGAAGCAGTTGTTTTCAGATGATATATTTAAATGATACTTTACCCTTGACTTATTCCATTGTACCTAAGTATTCCTGTGCATGAGACATGGAATCAAGCAACATTAAATGAGAATCTTCTGAACTTAACTTTTAAAGACACCCAGTCACTCCCAGAATGAAGATGAGACATTCAACCCACTCCACTATGTGACTGGGCCAACAACCCCTACTTCCCCCCAAACTCTAGCACGTGCACAAGCGTTCCTGAATTACCAAAGAATCAAGCTGCATCCCCCAGAGCAGCAGGCAGGGTCTGTGCCATTCACCAGAACCAAGGGCAGTGCCTGCCACATATGCGGCATTTAAATATCTGTGGGATAAAGGAAGGAATCACTATTGTTGGGACAAAAACCAGCTTGATCTTCAATCAGGGTAATTTCGAAATCCTCTATCACGTGCTTCTGGCTGAACTGGTGAGGTCACGTGTGAAAATACTCATTCACTCTCCCTAAGCCTCATTTCTTCCCTTGTGACACAGATAGTTACTCAGTGGCCTCACTGCCTGGTGGAGCTCTTGTGCCAATGACTGAGATACAGACGAGCAACGTGCTCTATGAAACGCAAGGCACCCGCCCACATGCAATCCACTGCCAGGCTGGCATGGCAGTATAGTTTGTGTAGTTAAAAATGAAAATAAGCTAAATAACCAATCACAGGGTGTTAAACAAATTATGAAACATCCATAAACCAAGTTACTACACATCCAGTAAAAGTCATGTCTAAGGATGTGGCACAATGCATATGCTATTTTGTGAAAAGGCGTATCACATTGTAACACGTGCGGTGTGATGCCATCCACACTTGCTTAACATTTGTTTGCTGTAGGCATAAAAACAAACTAGAAGGGAGGGCAAGGTGGCTCACGCCTGCAATCTCAGCACTTCAGGAGGCCAAGGTGGGAGGATCACTTTAGCCCAGGAGTTCAAGACCAACCTGGGTAACATAGGGAGCCCCCATCTCTTAAAACAAAAAAGAAAGAAAGAAACTAGAAGGACTGATAAAACATAGAGAACAGTTAAATTTGTGATAGAAATCTAAATTTTTATTTATTAAATTGAGACAGGGTATCACTGTGTCACCCAGGCTGGGGTACAGTGGCAGGATCTCAGCTCACTGCAGCCTCCATGTCCCAGGCTCAAGTGATCTTTCTACCTCAGCCTCCTGAGTAGCTGGGATCACAGGTGCACAGGACCTCACCTGGCTAATTTTCTGTTATTTTGGTGGAGACAGGGTTTTGCCATGTTGCCCAGACTCGTCCTGAACTCCTGAGATCAAGCGATCTGCCCACTTTGTTCTCCCAAAGTGCTGGAATTACAGAAGTGGAGTTACCATGCCCATCCAAAGTTTTGCTTTCTTTATACCTTATTTTCAACAATAACCATGTATACCTTTTATAGTCTCAAAAAATTATAAAACTATGTATGTGTGTAAGCCATCGTTGTTACTAATGTAAACAGCCCGGAAACAGTATAATTTCCAGAAGTTTACATTGTAAGAGTCCTTCATTCTTCCTCCATCTCATCATTTGAACAACATATGGCAGGATGGATAATACATTCAGTCAACAAATTACTATTTGACTCTTTAACACAGCTATGAAAACAAAGAGCTAAGCTTCCCTCTATTTTCTACCCTTAACGGGGACTGTGTAAATCTCAGGCTACGTTGTCACAGCTGAGTTACAAATTCCTAAGAAATGGGATCTTAGTTATATATATAAAAAAAAGCAGACTGGTTCCACTAACAGAAATAAAAGTTGAGAAGCAAAATGCATAACCTGGAAACACGGATGGGAGACACAAGCAGCACATTCCTTTTCCTGGCTTCACGTTTACGGTCCTATTGATACTGATGAGATTTGGGATTTCAAGGTATTTTTCCTCCCCTTTTTCATTAAACACAAAACAAGTGTACATCTAGATTTCTGGACAGCAACGCACTTTTCTAAAGCATTTACAAAATAAAGCAATTATCTTTAACATGAGCCATTTTTCTTTAAGTGAGCTGTATCAGACCACCCTGGCCATGTTTTTCAGTATGATCACGTTAGTGCAATGAAATAATTCACAAAAAGTGGCTTTAGCTTCTCGTGGCACTTTCCTCGGTAATTGGTATTTAGCAACCCTTGCCAGTTCACCATTCAAAATGGTTTATTTCATTCATCACAAAACCTAGAGACACAGCATCTCAGCTCTGCCCGTGAACATCTTCCTTCTGTTTTCTTTTTCTAGCAGTTCTAAGCATCTCAGCCATCCACATGCCTTCAAGCTCACACACGCTAACAGAGTAAAGGCGACGGAGTCTCACGACGAATTTTAAACACTGCAATGAGTTTATCTTCAAGGGCCTTGGCGCATTATGAGAATGAAATTTTTTTTTTTTTTTCCCTAAAAGCAGAGGAGAAAGGTAGCTGGTGAGTTCAGCCTGTGAGACAGTTTGTTTCAAAGGAAGGGTTAATATCTTTCCTTACATCCAGCCATGAGCTACACCAAAGAGCTCCTCACGGCATGAGATGGGAAGACATTTCACTTGATGTTGCTCAAATCCAACTTTTAAATTGCCCTTCAGAGGAATCTCTAGGCAGACAAGCCGACCTTCTACAGGGAGATCAAAGGGACGTGGAATCAGAGTGGCCAGGCCCTTTCATCTGGACGGACAACACCAGCACCCGGTACCTGTTGCTCCTACGGGGAAGATGTTGAGAGAACTGCATATTAACCAGGCACCTTGGGCTCTTGGCGCGTGCAGGTGGACACGGCTGGCCAGCCACAGACCGGAGACGCCTGCGATGAACCAGACAAAGAACACAGTTGCGGAAGAACCGCCCAGCCCCCTTCTCTGCTCCCCACCCCCCCACCCCAGAACAACGACCCAGCCCCTTTCTCTGCTTCCCCCTGACGTTCTTTTACAAGTTCATCGCTCCACGGCCAGATCCGTGCACATAAGGGCCTTGGTGGCTGCATGCTACATACCTTCTCTGTGAAAAGAACAAATCACTTTGCATATTTGTTCCAATAAACTGTGTTTTCCTTTTCAAATTTCTGGGTAATTCTGTGCTCACAAGGAGGATGGGTCGGGTTACTCCGGAGAAGTCCAGGAAACACACCCCGACCCTGTGTGCTGTACCTTCCCTATGTCCCATCGGTGAAAACCTGCACTGTGGTTTTGAGGGACAGGAAAACATCCTCTTGGAATGCAGCCGAGATCATGAATGTGTTTTATCCGTGAGCAACGGCAGAAATGTAGACCAACCTTTACACACATGTTTATGCATGCAAAGAATGATTCATTCTCAGTGACCCTGAAGATCCTAAAGACGATCAATGCAAAGGGGCTGAGGCGACACTGCTCACACAAACACAGTGCCAGTCACTGGCTCATGGAATCATATGCTGCTTAACTGTTCTATCCTTCCAAAGTGAGTTAAGACCCCACGCTTTACCAGAAGACTTGAGGGTAAATTCAGATGTTTAAGGTTTACGAGTGGCCACATCCAGCCTACAGTGTGAAATGTACTACCGTGGACAATCAAATCTTCTGTGATACACTCATACAGTACACATAGCACACCCCGAGTGTGTCTGTCTGTGTAGAGATAGCACTGAAATTTCCAGTACAGAGATAACCAATACTCATGCAGGTATTTCCAGTCTGAAGTCAGGCAGTACTAAGGGTTTATAAGGCATGTTTCACATAGAAGCAGCAAGTGATCCATATCATGCCAAATTAGTACAGGATCTTTAAAGGAATATGAACCACTAACAAGAGAAGTCCTAAGGCCACAGGCCCGGGGAAGGTGATGTGGCAGTGTAGATCATTGCCGCCTGGCAAGGCACTGTCGGGAGTTGCTCCAGTTGGGAAGGCTGCCCGCAGGGCAAGGCTCTGTGCTGCAGGAGGGGTGCTGGGAAAAGCCCTTCCCGCATGGGCCCTCTGGGAGTGGGCAGGAAGGGAGCCCGTGCTGCCTGGCTTTCAATGGCCGCTGCTGCTTCTGAGGAAGGAGGGGATAAGCTCCTGGTTCCATCCTTCTTTCTGTCCCGTGAAAAACCAGAATCTTCAGAAGAAAGCGAAGAGGGGTGGAGTCAGCTGAAAACTGACTCTGAATTCAAAGTTTTTTTTTTGAGATGGAGTCTCACTCTGTTGTTCAGGCCGAAGGGCAGTGGGGCAATCTCAGCTCACTACAACCTCCGCCTCCTGGGTTCAAGGGATTCTCCACCTCAGCCTCCCAAGTAGCTCAGATTACAGGCGCCCACCACCACGCCTGGCTAATTTTTGTATTTTTAGTGGAGATGGGGTTTCACCATCTTGGCCAGGCTGATCTTGAACTCCTGACCTTGTGATCCACCCACCTCGGCCTTCCAATGTGCTGGGATTACAGGGGTGAGCCACTGCGTCCCGTCAAGTTCACGTATTTTACCAGCCCCACGAGGGCCTGCTTGATTCCAGCCAAGGCTCCCAGCAGTCTGAGCTCTATGTGCCTCTTGGCACCCACAGTTCGAGACGCATTTGAGTCCGAAATGCAGTGCCTCCTTCATCAACACAACCTGTGAATTCCACGGGTTCTTTCCCCACGTAAAACGCACCGGTTTTTGTTCTGGGATGTTTTGCGAAATGATTCCGTTCAGGGGCTGTCATCCAGAAAGGTGAGCACGGAGACACTCAGAAAGCATTGTGGGGTCCTTGCCAGGGCAGATGCAGGTGCCAGGACACAAGATCAGCTCAACCAGAGAGAGGCAGTGACCAGCACTGCCCAGCGACTGAGGGACTCCCCAGCACCACCTTCCACAGAACACCCTGCTTCAAACCAGCCAGGGCAAAACGTGAAACGGTCGGGAAATGTTTAGTCACTACAACTTCTTCCTTGAGTTTTATCACTTTTTCCAAAACATATATGGCAAACTCAGAAGCTTTCTGAAAAATAATTTACACTGAGTTCATTCCACAGAAGCAGGTTCTATGAAGTTACGGTCTTTGATGAACACACCAGTGAAAAAATGAAAAGTAAGGCTCTATTTCTACAAAAGCATCTTTGGTGGAAAACACCCCAAAGCATCGGAAACTGCTTTTAAGATGCCACTTATCTGCATGGATGTTAAAATTCTTCAAGAGGACTAAAATGTATTTATCACCAGCTAGAGGTTTTTTTTGTTTGTTTGTTTGTTTGTTTTTTTGAGACGGAATTTCGCTGTTGTTACCCAGGCTGGAGTGCAATGGAGCAATCTCGGCTCACCGCAACCTCCGCCTCCTGGGTTCAGGCAATCCTCCTACCTCAGACTCCCGAGTAGCTGGGATTACAGGCATGTGCCACCACGCCCAGCTAATTTTTTGTATTTTTAGTAGAGACGGGGTTTCACCATGTTGACCAGGATGGTTCCAGCTAGAGTTTTAAACACCAGCCAGATGCTTCCAACATGGTGTCATTTTCAAGCCACGTCTGGTTAATAACTTCAAACATAAAGGCTAACTCAGAACACGACAGGGAAGACAGTACCAACGCACCGTAGCAGGAAGGTGACTGATGCTCAGCTCCTGCTCAGAACCTAACTCCTGGCCCACGATCACGTTCACATTACAAAATTCTTTTTGTATTTTTCTTCTAGCTATGGGAAGAAAACAAGCCACTTAGATGACAGCCAAGTGTCTGTAAAACATATAACAGCAATAATTCCCAGTGGAAATGTGGCAGATATTTATACAAGAGCAAAACATGAGGCATAGCAGCAAAAGGCTAACACAAAGGTGTTTATTTTTAGAGGCTCCCCCGGATGAAATCGTAGGGCTGTGAGGAAGGAGGCCTCGGTGAGAACCCTCAGTGCTCAGGTCTCATACTCATCATGAAGAGTGGAAGGCCAGGGGCCAGATGAAGACATTACAAAAAAAATACAGGTCTGTACCAGGAACACCAAAATCACTATTACCATACACTCGGGGATGAAAAACTGAATTCTTACTGTGAAAGCGGCCTTGATTTTTTTCTTTTGAGTAGGGGAGGGAGGTAGGGAAGAAAGGGGGCATATTCTGTTTTCTCCTTCAAGTTTCTGTTTTTGTTAGACTGGTTCCAGAAATCCTAGTCCTCCCTGGGGAATCCCAGCTTAGCTTAGCCTGTCACCATCTTCAATTACCAGAGTCACATATGTTAGACTGATCCACGTGAGAAAAACAGTCACTGGACACTTTTCAACCCACGCCCTAACCCCCAGCACACACATCTTCAACAACGGAAGTCTACCTTTGATATCTCACTTTCAAGTGGAGCTTCTAATTACATTAAAACGGAGCCATAACCAAGGTAGACACACGGCCCACGGGGTTTCTTCCTGCCTGTGAGCAGGCTCGTGTGGAGCCTCCTGAAAGCCAGTGTGACGGACAGGGTGGGTGGCAGCACCTCTGTTCCCTCAGAGGCAGGCAGCAGCCATCACTCTCCTCCAGCTCTGGGTGTGCTGGAAGCCTACCCACGCTTCTTGCCCTGGGTACCGCACCACTGACTGAAGCGAGAAGCTATCCTGGTTTCTCATCTATCCTTACACCAGCTCCACAGTCGGTTTACAAAACAATTCAGCTCTGACATCACTGGGTTAACATGAATAGTTTTGAAAAGAGTAATTATAGTGCATGTTGAAAAAAAAAAATCTGTGACTTTACCCAAAGCACTTCACCACGGTGTTACGGGAGGCGGAAAAGAGCGCTGTCCAGCAGAAATCAGGCTGGTGTAGCCAGAACCGGAGCCTGCCGTCCCCAGTGTAGCTTTTCATGGAGACCAAGGCCCTGGGCACGCAGAACGGCCAAGACGATCCCCACAGAGAGCACGGCTGAGCATCCTGCCTGCCCTCGGAACCTCTCCAGCTTGGGCGTCTCTCTTCAGGCAGGCGGGTGGCAGGCAGGAGAAAACGGCACGGGGCCCAGGCTGGAGCCAGCTCCAGGGCATCAGGCCTTCCTCAAGGGAGAAACATTCCCATCACCCCCGAAACTCACACACGCTGCCTGAAGCTCGAGGAAGTCTTAAAAAGAACCCCCTAGTCCTCGGCAATCCTGTTCACACAGGTGATCTCTGCCAATGCTGACGTGACACAAATAACTTCAGCCCCCCCATTACCCAAAATGCAGGCGGGATAGAGAAGGAGAGGCACATGGGTGGGTGGGGACAGATTAATCTACTAAATATTCTTGATCTCCCCACCACCCACACGCTTATACGTAAGCTGATAAACTCCAGGGCCCTTCCTAAGCACTGCGCAGTTCATGGGGGGAAAGGAGCCTAGTCCACTTGTCGTAAGTAATGGCGGCTGCCCTGTTGGCCCAGTACAAACTGCCACCTTGCCCGGGAAGGCAGCCCCAGATTGCCCTGGCAAACAAACACATTCTGCAAACTGGCAAGCAAAGACTTTCTGTGCCAGCATGAGCTAAAGGGACACGTGGAAATCAGAAGGAAAACCTTTTTTTTTCCTGGGAAGATTCTAAGAAAGACTGAAGTGTTGCTGGTGAGTTGAAAATAACTGCAAACATCGAAAAGGGATTAGAGAAAGGAACGGGAAAAATTTTGCTGGGAAACTTGAAGGTAGAGCCTCTGAAAATCACTACAAAACAAGCAGCCCTGATCGGTACTGAATACACATGGAGAGAAAAACCACAGGTGCACATATGCACACACACATACATGCAAACACACACATGTGCACACACACATACATGCACACACACACGTGCACACTCATATACAGCCTGTCATGGAAGAGAATTTCACTTATATTCTTACTTTGCTGTGAATTTTCATCATGAATAGATTTTG